AGTCGTTGGGTTGTCCGTCCGTCCATCTGTAAGTCCCGAATTCATGTCCGGCCCATAACTTTGTTATTTGCAGTCTGATTTTAAAACTGTTTCACAAAAATGATCACCATATTGAGACGACGTACTGGGCACAACATTTGGGTCTCTACATTGAAGGTCAAGGTCACAGCATGACCTTGCAGCTAAATCGTGTCCGGTCCATTACTTAATTATTTTAAGTCTGATTTTAAAACTATTTCACAGAAATTATCACCATATTGAGACAACAAGTCGCACATAACATTTGGGTCACTACCTTGAAGGTCAAGGTCACAGCATGACCTTGCAGAAAATTCGTGTCCGGCCCATAACTATGTTATTTGAAGTTGGATTTTAAAACTATTTCACAGAAATGATCACTATATTGAGACGATGTGTTGCGCGCAACATTTGGGTCGCTACCTTGAAGGTCAAGGTAACAGCATGATCTTGCAGCAAAATTATGTTAGGCACATAACTTCGTAATTTGATGTCGGATTTTAAAACAATTTCACAGAAATGATCACCATTTTGAGATGACCTGTCGCGTGCACCATTTGGGTCGCTACTTTGAAGGTCAAGATCACAACATGACCTTGCAGAAAAATCGTGTCCCGCCCATAACTTCGTTCTTTGATGTCGGATTTGAAAACTATTTCACAGAAATGATCACCATATTGAGACGATGTGTTGCCCGCAACATTTGGGTCGCTACCTTGAAGGTCAAGGTCACAGCATGACCTTGCAGCAAAATCGTATCTGGCACATAACTTCGTTATTTGATGTTGGATTTTAAAACTATTTCACAGACATGATCAACATATTGAGACAAGGAGTCACACGCAACATTTGGGTCGCTACCTTGAAGGTCAAGGTCACAGCAAAATCTTATCCAGCCCATAACTTCGTTATTTGAAGTAGGATTTTACAACTATTTCACAGGATTGATCACCATATTGAGACAATGTGTCGCTCGCAACATTTGGGTTGTTTTTACACTTTGAACTTTGTCTGTGACATAACTCTGACACTACAAGAGGTATACCTTGAAGTTCCTGTGTCCAAAACCTATTTGGGGAGCATCACCCAGTTCAACCGGCTCTTCTATATATTTGGATTAAATATTCTGTTTCTAGCATTTATATTTTGACAATTCTTTGACTCTGAACATTATACTTTGAAGTTTTCTCTGAAAACTGAAGAAATGTATGCTGATAGGTGTTGGCGCAATGCATTAGAGTGTAAAGAAGTTATTAAACCTATTTTGTTTTACACTTTGCATATATAACATACTTTTTAAGGACTTCAAAAATTATGTGTTATAAAAACATGAAAAAGGGGAAATAAATCTCACAAATGTGACAGTAGCCAAATATTTTTCTATCTGTTTATGTCAAATATTATTCTCAAGAAACAAACAAAGTTTAAAAAGAAATATCTTTATTTCTTTTCTATGATTTTTTATGACATAAGCCCGATCGGGCATTTTCACCAGCCTGTTTATATTACTGCAAGACCTGTATGCTGAAGCCAATCCTGTATCGAAAGTCAACCAAAACTTCGACATATTTTTTGTCATGCTGTAATTTAATCAAAGTGTGTTATCTGGACAAAAGCTATTTAAATACAGTAAATTATTTATATAGATATATTTTGTACTCTTCAGTCTATATTTTTAAACAAAGAAGGTTAGAGTGATGAAATAATGCCTCAAAGTTTATCAGTGTGTTTACATTTCATAAAATTTAGTGCCATTTCTGCCTTAATCATATCATGTGACTTGCGAGAATTTAGGTTCGGAAACCTTTGCATGGCCCTAAAAATGACCGAAATGCTTTTTTAAATTGAAAACATGGCTTTGCAATTATGAATCACAGGTGTATTTATTCAATTATATGTTGTACCAAAAAAAATTTGTATTCATATTGTTTTGAGCGATCATTCGTGATTTTTTTTTGGTATTTATATTAAAAATAGTGTATGGTCTGTTACTAAAAATAGATGCTAGAATTTCCAAAACTTGAAGTCCCATTAACAGCCCAAAACATGTTTTTTATTCAAGGGCCATAACTCGTAAATTAACCAGAAAATCCTTTTAATATGCTCAAGTACTTGAGGTACCAATCAATCCTGTAAAGTCTCATTAATTTGCATTAGCAGGGTTCTCAATAAGAGCCGGCCGCTGGCCGAAATGACCGTTTAAAAACACTTTTTGGCCGGCTGAAATTTGTAAAAGTTTCAATTAATACCAAAATCTGAGAACAGAATTTGACTGTCAAATACTGATGCTCCGTGATAATTGTTAATTTTTCAGTAGAAACACAATAAATGATTGGAATAAATCTGAAAACGGACTTTAATTAGCAAATAAATCTTAATTAAACCTGCACAAAGTGAAACCGGAAGTCGAACTCCATTGCCGATTTTTTCCAGCCTACTGCAATATTGCAATGAAAATACTTGTTAAAACTGGACACTATTCAAGGGTTTAAACTTTTAAAAACATGGTTTGTTTACTATAAAATCGTAAAATCAATCTTTGATAGTTGTCATTTACACTGGTAATGTGTACTTAAATAGAGTTAAACTTCGTTCGCTCGAACTTGTATCGCTCGAATACCTCCCTTCGCTCGAACTCATTTTGCCCAGTCCCGGCAAAATTCCTTTATAATATATATTGTTCTACCTCGGATTGCTCGAACACCGATCGCTCGAACTCTAGAACCTGATCTCTGGTCCCTTAGGCAGAAATATAGTGCAAATCACACCTTTTCGGTCGAACACAAAAAGACATGTCGGTATGTCCTAAATAAATGACAGTCGGCGACTCATGTTTTTAACACCTCGTGATCGTGACAAAGGTAATTAAGGTTAATTGATACAAAATAAAAGGTGTTGTTACCAATTTATTTGTATGATAATATTGTTGATTTGCCGTTTATGGTAACAATAGAAAGAAAATAACTTGTGAAATATGCATGCAAATAAAGAATGACGTTTACCCGGACGCTTTTAATTACAACCGTGGTTCATGTAAGTGAATCATAACAGTGTTATCTATTTATAGAATGATACTTATATGTGTGTTTATTTTAGTAAATGACTACAAATAGATGCTGCTGTAAATGTTTTTAATAAATATTTCATTAATTTATTTTTTTTAATGAAATTCATCCCATTATAAACATATAAATATATTTTGAACATTGTTCAACAAGTTTGGTGTGATTGCCCAATCGAACTCAACCAATTATAATATGCATGAATATAGATTAACACAGTGTACCGTTTATACTTAATTAAAACACTGGTATAATAATTCTGAATATGAAATATTCGACGAACAGATGTACTAACAAACAATTATATTGACGCATTTATCATTCGACCGATGTAAGCTAGGAAAACTTTTAGGCATCTGATCAACGTAATAATAGTTCAACCTCGGTTGGCTCGAACTACCCATCTCTCGAACAAATTTGCACTGGCCCTCCGAGTTCGAGCGAACGAAGTTCGACTGTACATTCATGTGTTGTCGAAAATAGATCTGATTTCGGATGTAACTTATTCGGACATGAACTTCATACACTGATATATACAATGCTTATTTATGAATAAGCAATTTCAATGCAAGTAATATAATATTAATAACAAGCTTGTTATCAAAGTTTTGATACCCTATAGTAGGTATAAAAATTAAGGGCAATATACTTTGATCAAAATGACTTAAAATCTATAATTTGTTGTTCAAATCAGGGACAAAAGATTTAAATCCAATGCTCCTACTCAAATCTTATACCAAATAACTGAATACATTTTTAGTGAAGTTACATGTACTGAGATTTGTTGGCATAAATAGTAAAAGTTTGTTTTTGTGACATTTGCTCTGTTCCATGTCTGACAAATAAGTTTATAGAATTTATGACTAACACATTTAGGTCCTGTTCAAGCTTTTAACTTAAAAATGAGAATCAATTTTAGGATCAGAATCAATATTTGGATAAACTGTAAAATTCCCTTAATCTTACAAAAATAACAATAAATTTATCTAAAATTTCATAAACTTTCCATCACAAACCCACTTTCATCAAATTATTATTAGATATATAATCTATGAGGATAAACAGTGAAGAATATTAGTTTTTAATTTGATCCTGATCCTTAAATTTTTGTGAACACTGGGCCTGTTTTGATTTTGTAAACATAAACTGTACATTGATGTATATATGTAGATGTGAAACTGTAAGCTCTATTGAAATCTTGTTAGTGTCATGCCTGCAGCTTGACAGGCAACACATAATTTGCTTATTTTTTATTTAATCATTTAATGCCAGGTGAGTATTCACATAATTGGCAAGTCATTTTAAAATGCCAGGCTGTTCGATGAAAGCGTCAATCCCTAAAAAATGAAACACAATGATTGGCATCTGGCACATGATATTTTATTATTGAATAAGAGTGATTTTTATGCAGTAATTTTCTAATATTTTTCTCCTGTCTGCAATTAATGCCCGACATAACTGTATTGGTCCAGCATTTTAAAATGAATTGCATGATATGGTGTTTCATTAAGTTTAAAATGACTTAAAAACACAGTATTTAAGACAAAACTGCACTTTTTTTCCAATTCATCACACAAAATATATTTGACAACACTCTTAATACTGGATTACTCATAATGTAACACATTTTTTTACAGAATTTAATAGTGTGAGAAATTTTATATATTTTTTTTTTCAAATTATGCCTTTACATTTGGTCTTCTGTAATAGTTTTAAACTGCCAAAATATGGCCTAGAATGCAGGAAATCAAGCGCTTAATTTCAAAAATTTTCCCGGACCCCCTAGACATCCTGCTAGAATACAAATTTGGCCTGCAGAGCTGAAAGTTATTGAGAACCCTGATTAGTAGTATAAGAGAAGACAAAACTGATAAAAATCATGATTATTAAAGTTTATTATTAACTTAAATTTTATTTCAGTTTAAAAATGTACAGACAGATGGCAGTCCTAAACTTGAAGAGGTGTTTTCTCAATGGAAGAGGTATGTTGAAACTTGATGGTTCAATTTAAAATATTTGTACTTTTAAGTTCTGTAAAATCCTTCTAAATCTGACAGCTTGTGGTCCAAGTTTTTGTCCTGTTACTGGGACAGATATCCAGGAGAAGAGTGCTCAATCTGGACACATTATTTTACACTATTATATACTTAAATCTTTTTAAGCAGTAATGTGCATCCAAAAGGAGTCCTTAAATATTAATTAAGTCCAGTAAATTGTTGAGTAAGTTTCATTAAATTAAGATGTGAGGAACTAACAGATGTAGTTTATGAAAGGTTGATTAAGTCTACTAAGTACCTACTTGAAACATAAAAAAGGATCATTGTACCTCATCTTCAACTAAATGTGTCAATACAAAAAATGATAAAAAAAATTATTTTAAAGTGACACTTAATTGACAAAAACAATTTTTCAACTCATCGTATCTCTAAATTTGCAATTGATAATCATAAGCAGAAAAATGCTCTGAATATCATGAAATAAAATGTGCAGAATTGTTTTTTGTAAAAACAGATACAGTTGACATTAATAAAACATTCACAGAATGAGTATTGTGTATTCATAAATTGAATCAAAACAAAGTTAGTCACTGTTGTTGTAGTATTAACTTGCAATACAAATAATATTTAATAATGGTTTAGCTATTTACTACTCACTAATAAGTGAAAACACTGTATACTTTAAACCAAAATAAAATACAATCATTTAGATCATCATCGAAGTTCGTTATTTACCATTGGCCCAAATTTTACAAAATGGCCATCATTTTCAGACAAGTGGGCCCAGGGCCAAGTTCTTTCAAATTCTTGTCAGTTCTCTGGTAGTTTCATAATTTTATTTTTTGTAGAGAAAGTTATCAAGGAAAGATGGTTATGTGGATTCACTGCCAGCATACAATCAAAACATGTGAAATTAACATATGAAATTAGAAAAAATCTTAGAAAAACAAGCACTATCACTCTATCACAAAATTCCCACTCAAAATATGCTCTTTTTACCCCAATTTCAAGAAAATTATTTTATATTTAACATGTTTGTATCAGGGAAACACATGTTTTTGCTGTATTCATCATTATTATTATTATCTTGTTTCAGTGAGGGTGTGAAAAGAAAGTTGGGAACTGAAGGCAGTCCAGCAGCAGCTAAGAAAGTCAGTGAGGGTGTGAAAAGAAAGTTGGGAACTGAAGGCAGTCCAGCAGCAGCTAAGAAAGTCATTGAGGGTGTGAAAAGAAAGTTAGGAACTGAAGGCAGTCCAGCAGCAGCTAAGAAAGTCATTGAGGGTGTGAAAAGAAAGTTAGGAACTGAAGACAGTCCAGCAGCAGCTAAGAAAGTCATTGAGGGTGTGAAAAGAAAGTTGGGAACTGAAGACAGTCCAGCAGCAGATAAGAAAGTCATTGAGGGTGTGAAAAGAAAGTTGGGAACTGAAGACAGTCCAGCAGCAGCTAAGAAAGTCATTGAAGGGTGTGAAAAGAAAGTTAGGAACTGAAGGCAGTCCAGCAGCAGCTAAGAAAGTCATTGTAAGGGTGTGAAAAGAAAGTTGGGAACTGAAGGCAGTCCAGCAGCAGATAAGAAAGTCATTGAGGGTGTGAAAAGAAAGTTGGGAACTGTAGGCAGGTCAGCAGCAGCTAAGAAAGCAAAGAAAGAGGAATCTAGTAGCAGCAGTAGCAGCTCTGAAAGGTAAAGTATATTGCCTTGTTACAAGACCTCATTTGATTTTTCAGCCCCATTTTTAGCTCACCTTGCACAAAGTGCAGGTGAGCTTTTAGGATGGCCAACCAAATGTGTCTGTCGTCTGGCGTCCGTCCACATTTTATTGAAACGACATCTTCTATAATACCACTCAACCAATATTTATGAAACTTGGCAGGAATACTCTTTGTATGAAGCTCCATCAAGATTGTTCAAAGAATGCCATTGACCAAGCTAAACTCTGGTTGCTATGGCAACTAAAAGAAAAAAGTTCTTATACTTCAAAATGGAAAGGGCTAGAGCTTAGATATTTCTCACAAGGCATTAGCTTGTTAGTTTCTACAAAATATATTCAAATTATGGTCAAGAGTTGAAAATTGGCCTCTGTTTTGGGGGTTAAAGGGTATTTTATATAGACTTTCTTTGTAGGGATAAATTGAGATAGTCTATCTTGTATTTTTTGTCTCAACAGACATTGTTATGAAGATTTTTCTGTTATAGCATAAGAAAGATGAAAAGTTTGCTGAATGTGAATGTTAATTCAAAATTGAATTAAAAGAGTCAATGAGATTAGCACAAATTTGAGAGCTACAGTGAAGTTGATTTCCCCATTCAATAATGGATTCTTCCATTAATTTCGTAACACCATCAGAAAGGAAGGCTGTGTCATTTCCGAAATACAATGTAAAATATTTCGGTTCTTGACAATGACTTGCACATTCTATTGTGTAAGATATTGCACAAAGAAACGTAAGTGAACGCAAAATGTTGTATTTTTTTTTCACAAAAATTAGATGATTAAGATAAAAGTTTAATTCACAGTAAGGATATTACTTTTTAACATCCTTCCGGTTTGCGGGAAAAATCATATATTTCAACATTGTCTACACCGATCTTACTGATGAACGATTTATGTCCTAATACATTGTATTTCATTCTGAGAACAAACATACAATTCAAATCATTAAATAAATGCATCAATGAGTCCATTCAACAACTTAAAAAAATTGAACTTTGCCTCAGAAAACATCTGTATCAATCTGACCTCGAGTTGAGATTATAAATAGAACTAAACCGGAAGTCCGCCATGTACAAGAAAATTGAGAAATTTTGTAACATAAACTCGTATTTCATAACAAAGTATTGAGACTTGATTCCGGACAGGCAGGCGAATTGGTTGGGCCATTTTTCATAACAGTTTTCTCAGCAACTACTTATCAGAGCCTCATGATATTTAGTATACAGCATTAACACATTGTCCCATACCATGGGATTTGATTTTAGGTCTGTCGCTCATCCACTTCATGTTTACTGACCTAGTTAAATTCATAATAATGGTCAATGATACAAATTTTTCTCCCCAACTACTTATTACAGCCTCTTGATATTTGTTATACAGCATTGATATGATTTCAGGTATGTGGCTCATCCACTTTTCCTTTGCTGACCTAGTTAAATTTTCGGCATTAATTGTAAATGGAAGGAAATTTCCGTAACAGTTTTCTCAGCAACTACATATCACAGCCTCTTGATATTTGGTTTTGTGACTGCATACACACGTGCACGGTCCCAAGTTCAGGTCTATCGCTTATCCTTTTCCTGTTTACCAACTTCGTTAAATGTTCGCATTGATGGTCAATGGTAGGAAATTTTTGTAACATTACAGCCTCATGAGTCATGTTATTTGGTATGCAAAATGCAACCCGGCCATTTTTGTCTTTGACCCATTTTTGGCCGGGTTGCACTGGTGCAAACCCGGGTTATAGTATGGTGAATGTTGGGCGGCGGGCGGGGAAAAACTTTCGTAACAGTTTTCTCAGCAACTACTTATCACAGCCTTTTGATATTTGGTATACAGCATCAACACATGGTCCCATACTGTGGGATTCGATTTCAGGTCTGTCGCTCATCTACTTCCTGTTTGCCCACTTAGTAAAATTTTCTACATTAATGGTCAATAGTAGGAAATTTTCGTAACAGTTTTCTCAGCAACTACTAATCATACAGTACGCTCACCGCGGGTTTTGCTTTTTCCGCGATACCACCGCGGACGATTTTTTTTTATCGCGGACAAACGCGGGGGTTCGTCCGCGATGAAAGCCTAATTTCCCCCGCGATCCCCGGTGTTCAGTTGTTTCCACCGCGGACAAAATTCTGACGACCGTTCTTCATTCGTCGATAAAATCAGTCACCCGTTTCCCCCGGGGGAACGCCATGGTCAGTTGGTCAGTATAAATTAACCTCCAAAAATAATAGACGGTTTTATTATTTTTAACGTCATCTTTTTTACAAAATGACTTGAAAATTGACCACAATCGTCTCCTTAAATGTTATTATACGTTAATTTTTTTGAACGGAATTCGAAATAAAAATAATTACAGCTGTACCTGTTTTTGTTGTTGTTTTTAATATTTTTGTTATAAACGTCCACAAAACTATTCGTCCACATACCAATATTTTTACAACTGAAATCGTCATTTATCACTGTCATCTTTACTTTTTCATTCCTTGTGGTTCTCAAAGTATTATTGCTGTTAAACTATATGGGAGCCATAAATATGATACTTAGTAAAAAAAGGAAATTTGTGCTGATTTCTCAATGATGACTGACGCTACAGTACATGTCCTGTAAGAGGTCGATGAGTGTGAATACAAGACAAGACATAAATAAAATACATGTACATATATTAGAAATAAAAGAAAAAGATATTTAAACCATCTATAAGATTTTATTTGTATGTAATTATATTCTTTAAAAACGGGTAGACTTGTTTGTTTGTGTTTTTTTACAGTAAAAACCCCGTCGAAAATGGACATGAGAAATATGCATGACACTTGCCAAAAAGTTTTTGTATACTGTACATATCGTATATTTGTTTGACACAAATTCAAAAAGGTTCTCTTTGCCATCATGTCAGATATTGTATGTACGTGCATACTGTTCATAATAAAATACCAAAAAGTATAACGTAAAGCTTAACAAAATTCTGCAAAAAAAAAATCTATAAAAAAAATAAAAAAGAACAAACAAACAAACTACTAAAACAAAAATGAAAATAAATTTCAACAGTTGATAATATCAAACTTCAAAACATATACATTACGCTCACACCTGTAATTAGATAAATCAAGAATATCATCTAATGTATATTTTGGTGAAATAAACGCTTTCTTTTAATGTTCCAAATAAAATATAAGACTTTATGATCAACATGCAAATAAACAGAAACAGTAAAACGCATCGGACAATTGAAAGAGACGTCCTGAATAAATTGTTGAGGGTTAAGTTTTTAAATAAGAAACAAAAGCTGGCATATAAATTGTTGTAATATCTTTTTCATAAATGTCATATGCCGAATTTTTCATTATTTGACTTAAAGCTTCTCACTACCATGAAGTTGCGACGACAATGATTTATCTTGATGTCGAATACATGTTATACATTACCCAACACAATAACAAGAAGAAGAACAAGAAATACACTGCATTTGTACATGTACTTTTATTACAACAAAAAAGAAAACAAACAAACAAATTTTACACATAGTTATATTTACAGTACATGTTACAGTACGTACGTATACTGATGTTTAAATACAGTAATTAATTTTCAAAATTTAAGGTTTCCACCGCGTTGACCGGTGTTTGACCGCCGCGTTCCTCCGCAATTTACCGCTGCGTTCCGCGGGGGAAACGGTTTCAGCCGCCGATTTATGTCCGCGGTGGTGAAAATTTTCTGTTCGCGGGGTCACGCGGACAATATCTGAGCAAATTTTCGTCCGCGGTAAACCTCATCCGCGGGGTCACGCGGGTTTTGAAAAAGCCGCGCTGAGCGTACTGTAGCCTTTTGATATTTGGTGTACAGCATCAGCACATAATATACTGTGGGATTCGATTTCAGGTCTGTCGCTCATCTACTTCCTGTTTGCTGACCTATTTAAATTTCAACATTAATGGTCAATAGTAGGAAATTTTCGTAACAATTTTCTCAGCAACTACTTATCACAGCCTTATGATATTTGGTATACAGCATCAACACATGGTCCCATAGCGTGGGAATCGATTTCAGGTCTGTCACTCATCCACTTCCTGTTTGCCGACTTAGTTAAATTTTCAACATTAATGGTCAATAGTAAGAAAATTTCGTAACAGTTTTCTCAGCAACTACTTATCCCAGCCTTTTGATATTTGGTATACAGCATCAGCACATGGTAACATATCCTGGGATTTGATTTCAGGTCTGTCTCTCATCCACTTCCTGTTTGCCAACTTAGTTAAATTTTCAACATTAATGGTCAACAATAGGAAATTTTCATAACAGTTTTCTTGGCAACTATATATCACAGCCTTTTAATATTTGCAGGGCATTATTTCCTTCTATAACAGGGGCCGATGTTCGGCCCCTTCACAATTCGAAATTGGACTTTTTTTTCACAATGTGGCGGGAAAAAATTCACAATCTCAAAAGAGATTTCACAAAATATCAGGACTTCGACTTCGAATCTGTACTTCTTCTCAATTCATTGTTTACTTTCGGTAACACTTGATTTTTATACGCCCGTTTGAAAAACGGGACGTATTATGGGAACGCCCCTGGCGGGCAGTCGGGCGGGCGGGCGGCGTCCAATTTTGTCCGGAGCATATCTCCTACATGTATGGAGGGATTTTAATGAAACTTCATAGAAATGTTCACCACTATGAGGAGCAGTGTCGCGCACATGAACCAGGTCTCTAGGTCAAAGGTCAAGGTCACACTTAGAGGTCATTTAAAAAGGCTTGTCCGGAGCAAAACTTCCACATGTATAGAGGGATTTCAATATTACTTGGCACAAATGTTCACCATTGTGAGGCGGAGTGTCGCGTGCAAGATTCAGGTCCTTGCGGCCAAGGTCAAGGTCACACATAGAGGTCAAAGTTCAGATAAAAATATGAAGATGTGTATATGGACCATTTAGTCATCATTTATTGAGGGATTGTAACACAAATGG